AGTAGCTGGTCAGTTTGATTGTGTTTTGATTTTCCGCCATGCATAGAATGGAGTACATACTGTAGCTCCAAAAATGTTAATGGCCCTATTGTTCCTGTTCTGGATTTACAATTGGGACAGAGACATGTTACACTTGACTGCTATTTAGTAAATGCTGAAAGGGCTCTCAAACAGCTTTTATACTTCGCCTAAGGAGCCAAAATGTATTGAAAATAATTTTGCTACATGAAAATAATGTGGTCAATCATTTTCTGTAACTATACATCTTAATGGGATGACGTTTCTTTATTTTTAAAGTCCTGACAACTGCGCTGCTGACAGCACCTAGTTTTCTGGACTTGACCAAAGAAAATGAACTTTTAACGATACTACAATGGGGTTCAAACATAGACACTACGTAAAATACTTTTACAGCCAGGTTTATACAAGAACTACCTCTTGTGCCTCTGTCAATCGTTAACCCCCCCCTTCTTTTCTTCTCCCCTGTGTGCCACTGAAATCTGTCCGCCGGAAGTTATGCTTGCGGTCTCCCGACCAAAAAAAAAATGGCGAGTGGCATCGGCAGTGAGTAATTTCTAGCGCTTTTCAAATTTTCTTCGTAATGTAATGGTAGAATTAATCCCAGGTTAACCTAAAACAGTCCAGTTTATTTAGTTTGGTTGAACCAGTAGTGGCGTTCTCTGATAAAATGTTATACCATGTAACTGTGTGTCTCGTTAATGTGTCCCCCCGTAATCAACATTGCTAATTAATCATTAGCTAACTGTAACGTTATGGTATTGTATGCAAACTCACAACCTAAAACTATTTTCATTTAGGTTACCTTGTTTTAGATTTGTACCCCAGTGCGAAAACATTGTATAGCTCAGTCTTAAATGTTAATAGCATCCTGTATATGCTATACAAGCTAGTGTTTTTCGTGTAGCTGATGCTAGCTAACTCATGATAAATAATAAAATGTTGCGTTAAATCATGGTGGGATTTGCTTTTACATTCTTTGTGTTTACCTCCGTTATACATCACAGGCCGTATATTTTATTTGGTTGGATATGGAAAGGACCGCCAAAAAGAAAGCATTAACAATATAATAAACAAATCGCTCAATTAGAACACAGCAAAATACATAAACAATACTGGATTAAAAGACACGAAAGGTTACCAAATGTCAAACAGGAAACAGTAACTCATTGTTTTGACTTGATTATTTGCTTTATGTGAACATTTATACAAGTGTATCAGGGGTTCATTTATTTGTGACATAAAACCAAAACTTATTAATAGGCCAGGGACTGTTATGAATACTTGGACATGTTGTAATTTCTGTGTATATTTGTACTGTTTTTTTTTCTTCACAGAACACAAGATACTGAATGTGGGGCCAACAGAGCCCTGGTCAGTCAGGGAGAAACTGTGTCTGGCCTCCTCTGTTATGAGGAGTGGTGACCAAAACTGGTAAAAAGAAAACCTACTCAAAAACTTATCTGGGTTTGTCATTCATAAAGGAATCATCACAGGGTTTTAGCAAAATATAGGCCAATTTTAAAATGACATGGAATCTTAGAGTTTTAACCTTTAAAGGTATCAGTGTTTCCCAACTGTTTTCAAAACCTCGGGAAAGCATTTGTTGACCTAAAGAGATTTATCCTGCTGTTCAGAAAAGATCACCTGATCTGACAACACAGAGATGGACTACCAACCTTTACAGTATGTTTTTACATTGAACCTATGGGTAGCCAGTATTCTGTGCTGGTATTTAATTTATAAAAAAAATGTGTGTATTGAAAGATCTTGTCTGCTCAAACTATTTACTGCCAACAAATCTAATCATGAGACCAATAATCTTTGCCCTTTCCCTAACCCGTCAATATCAATTATCTGTATTAACCAATCAGAGCAGACATCAGTAGGGCAATACTGCATGTTTGGATTCACTTTATGTAAGAGGCAGAAAGTGTTTCTCTAAAAAAAAAATTACCAGCAGGCAAATATTAGCTCTCATACATTTTTTTGGTAATGTTCAACCATCAGGGCATGGTGGAGAAAAATGTAATATAGTATGTGTGCTGTTGAAGCAGGTAATGGTTCTTGCTACTAGATCCCTAGAGTGTCTGAACAGTGAACACACAATAGTGGTACAGGAGTTTGACAGCCAGCTAGAACCTAATTAAACTGTTTTGTTTTTTTTGCCTATGCTAATGATGAGTCACATGCCTTCATTTATCATAATTTGAATGTATTTCAATGTATATTTTCAGTCACTACATGTATTTATTTTCAAATTGTCTTCTCAATATGTGTGTTCATTCTGAGGAGTTTCTCTGTCTCCAGGGTGTCTGTAAGTCGAGCCATCAAGCCTTTCTCAGAGCCCGGTCGTCCACCTGACTGGTTCTCACAGAAGGTGAGAGATGCAAACCTACACAGTATTTTTTTTTCTTTCAGTATACAGTCCAGTAAGTCAGGTGTTGTGCAAGGATAGGATGGTATCTTTGTTGTCAGCATTTGCTTTAAGATAACAAATTTACTCGCTGTTTTTCAGCATTGTGCTTCACAATACTCTGAGCTGCTGGAGGCCACAGAAGCACCTAAGTTAGTACTGGTACTACTACTACAACTACTACACTCATGCACACCCCTATGTGCAAAATCAAAATAATCTTGCTTGGTGTTTGTGCTCTCTTTTGCCCAGGCGTAAACGTGGTGAGAAGGGTGAGGTGGTTGAAACTATTGAGGATGTCATTGTTCGTAGGCTAACAGCAGAGAGGATAGAAGAACTGAAAAAACTGCTGCGAGACACACAAGAGCAGTACAGGTACACACACACCTTAAAAAAGACCTTTGATGACTGTGAGACATGACATTTAACCTGCCTGTGGTTTCTGCCCTGCCAGAAAGTTGAAGAAGGAGGTGGATCTGATACAGACTGGACATATGGACTCTCAGCTGAAGGAACTGTGGGCAGAGATCACACTGTAAGATTTTTAACTGTCTCTCTCTTTGATGCATGTGCAACTGCATATGATATGTGAACTACAGCACATATTTCAATCTCAAACACTACCAACATAAACCCAGCTTTTTGATTAGCTGCAATGGCATCATAGATTGTGGAATGACACAGTTGGCTGAGTTGGTCTGTCATTCAGCACTTAGGTGCAGACAGCGAAATACAGATGGGTGACAAAAGAAAAGCCAACATAGTGTCTCACTAAGATGTTGGGTCACCACGTGCCACCAGAACAGCTTCAGTGTACCGTTGACTCTCCAAGTCTCTGAAGTCTACAGGAGGGGTGAACAACATTCTTCCAAAATACATTCCCTCGCAGGGTGTTTTGATGATGGTGGTGGAGACGCTACCAAAAACATCAGTCAAAAATCTCCCACGGTTGTAGGATGGGTACTGAAAGGCACCAGTTCTTATACAAGCGGTAGCTACCGGTCTGTATCACAATGCAGATTTCAGTGCCACTTAAACATCTGTTGATTGAAATATTTGCCCTCTAGTTCTGTGAAACAGACAATACAGGCAACAGAAGCATCACGGCACAGTCTTACTCTGCTGCAATCCTCTTAAATTGTCAATTGTTGAAGTATTAGTTTTTTGTTTCCAACTCCAGAAAGAAGAAGCAGGATGAGGAGGAAGCAGAGCAGAAGAGAAAAGCCACAGAAACTGCGTACCAAGGTAGCTTCAGTCTGCACTCTGTAAAGGCCTTATTTTGAAACATGTAGTTTTTATTCAGGAAATCTGAATATCTTAGATCATGTTGGTATTTGCTGTGAATGTGAAAGAACTCCTCCTACACATCTTGGCATGCTATGAAATTAAATGTATCAGAGTGCAATAAAAATCACTTGATTTTTGTCAGCATGTCATTTTACCAAATGCATTACATTATAGCTGCAGTGTTGTATGGTTTTATGATACTGTTAAGAACATAGAAACACTGCTGTCAGTTTTTAACCATGTTGCTGACAGTCTTCATGATTAATCGTACTCTTCTTGAAAATATGTTTCATTACTTGTCAAGACAAAGGGTTGTTCCTCTGATGTGCTTGAGTTGGAATGACAGTTTGGTCACATGATGCTTTGCTCATGATTTCTGTGCTGCAGCTTTTCTCTTGGACAGTGTTCCTTTACAAAATGGATTGACCTTCTCTGTTCATCACAGCTCGTCAGGCAGTGAAGAACACACCGAAGCGTCTGCCCAGTGTAACTGTGCGCTCTCCTCTGGGTGCCAGCCCACCAATGCTGGATTCTCAAGCCGAATCTTCTGTTCCCACACCGCCCATGGATACAGGAGGTGTTGCTTCGGATGACACCACTACTCACTCAGTTGTAAGAACATACTCCTGTACACCAGTGTTTGCATTACACACTTTGTGATGAAGAGCTACCACAAGGATACTGCCAGTGGTGAGAGAAAAATGTGTTAAATGAGGTTGTACATTGTCAAATTAAAGTCCTTAGTGTGCCTTTTTACAATAATAAGCCATGACTTCGGTGCAGATAAAACGCAAATCCAACTTGTGTTCTTGGCTCATTCAGTGGAAATAGATCATCTCACATTATGGTGGTGTTGGTGAGCCCAGCTTGTGCTTGAAGGAAGTTCTTCAGATATGTCAGTTCACTGTTCCAGCCACTCTCACTGAGTTGTTGTTGTCTCTGTCAGGCCCAGGGGGTCGGAGTGTTTTTACCAGCGACGGATGCTCCAGGCCCAGGGCCCAAAGATGGAGGCCTGGCTACTCTAGTTGATGACTCGCCACAGAAGAGGCTCTTGACCCAGAAGGCCACACCACCACCCTCTCCTCTCCTGTCAGAACTGCTGAAAAAAAGCAACCTCATCTCAGCCAGCCCCCACCTGGTGAGAACAACCTTTCTATGGATTTAGACACTAAAACCATAAGAATACTAGGAGTTCAGGATTATATAAAATCATATAAAGTACCAAGCAAAACTCAGCTGGAACCACCTCAAAGTTACTGTCTATAATTATTTTCAGTGTCATATACACTATATAGGTTGCAGGCAGGGCTAATTTACGGACCGTACTATGACAACACAGGGTAGAGAAGCTGGAATAGCACCAAGAGGGAGTAGTAGTGTCAAGGATGTGGTGTAGTATAGCTGAGAGACATGTCTTATCCCATTTTCAATGGCTTTATCAGACAGTGTGTAAAATCTTGGTTAATGCACCTTTAAATCCTCAGAGCTGATGTCACTAAAGGTGTTTGTTCTTGTTTTGAATTTGGTACAAGCAGTAATGGCTCAAACTCAGGATCAAATCATAGTATTTTGAGGTTTTTACCCCACAAAGGATCTAACAAACCTCTCCTCATGTTTGTTGACATCAGGTTGCCGATGGAGATTCTACTGGAAACCTCATGAATGGAGTACAGACAGCAACTGCAGTCACTGCCCTGCCACCCGGTCACGATGTCATCACGGGTAAATATACTTGGCGTCCATACACATAAACATAAGCACATGCTTTATAGATTATGTCTTAGGAGAACCACACTCTGTACTTTGTTTCTTGATGGTTAGAATGTGACACACTTGCTTTGTGTGCCATTTGGCTGCTGTCTGGTTCATACACTTTGTTGTCAGTTTATTAGGTACACCTACCTAACCAAAGGCAGTTATGTAAATTTTTTGTTTATATCGTTTCAGAGAGGCATTGATTCAACTGTATATTTTTTCACACTGATTTTATGTGTTTTGATCTTTGTGTTTATATATTGTATTAATGTGTTAGGGCATTTTAAGATTGTTTTAGATTGAAAGTGAGAGTTTGCTCTCAACAGTTTTTTTTCCCCTGGTTAAATAAAGGTTGATGATGATGATGAACGCTGCATTGGCATTGAACTGACTGGCATTATACTTGAGTGTTTCTGTTATTTATCCTAGTCTCAGTGATGTAAATGGGGAGGACAAAATAATAGAAACATCGATCAGTATATTCACCATCATTACCAAAACCATTTATTACAGGACTGTTGTATTAGCCTGATTTAGTTTTAGCATGGTGTATTTCATAAACTGAGCCAACCAGCGCTCCAGGTGGGCCGGTAGACAGTGTACCAGCATTTCTCACAAGCTGCCGGTACTCTCTTCTGCCCTTTCCATGGGCTTGTTTAAGATGAACTGCATCTCACCTGGATAGCGGACGAGAGCAGATGTTGGCAGCTGGGGACAGTGAAATGAAGTTGCACTTGCATTGCAGGATGGACAGTTTAAGGGGGTTTCTGCCAGCTACAGCATGGAAGCCAGGGGCTGTTATTTCCACCAAAAGAGACCATACAGTGAGGAACAGAAGTATTTGAACACCCTGTGATTTTGCAAGTTCTCCCACTTAGAAATCATGGAGGGGTCTGAAATTCACATTGTAGGT